AGAGGCATTCATATCACTGCAATACATCTATTCTTTATTTTTTTTTTTTTTAAATAATATCCTCAGATATTTTAGGATGTAAAGATCCTGAAAACAATGGTATAGGAAGGAAAAGATCCCCCAGTGATACATCAAACAAGTGAACAATACCCAGTCAATATTTGGGGAGGTGAATATCCCAAACATTAGTTCCAAAAGTATAGATCTTCAAATGATAGTTCTGGAGATAGAAAAACACAAACAAAGGTTGGAAAGGTGTAGATCCACAAACGATTATTCCAGAGGGAAAGAACGGTTCAGGAGGTCTGTAAACAATAGATCTGGAGGTAATGATAGGGTACCACCATGTAATTATCCTTTCTTACTCTGAGAAAGGAAGATCAGTGCCGATATTTACACTAGGTAAAATTACACATGGATATGTATAGTTTTTATACACACACATATATATATATATATATATATCTTATTTACAAGTATATATATATCTGTAGACCGGACAATAATTTTAGCACTACAGAGTTGTAGAGGATACATACTTATGAAAGTAACACTTTTAAACATATACCAAATACTCAAATGTTATTGGTCTTTTTTTTTATTTATCAATGTTTAAAAGTAAAAATAAAGTAATGCTACTCCCTTAAAAAATGTATTGATGAAACCTATAGCGTATTTGTTTAACCCAACGGATGTGTAGTTTGTAACGAGAATAATTCACTGTGACTTCAACTGGAGATAAAAAAAAAATTCTTTTCTTTTATTTTTTTGGTTTTTTTTAGATAAATATACTTGGAAAGGCACTATAGGATTCAGATATACTTATCATCCATAATCACAACACAATCAAATAGGATTATTTCTTTTTCCTATTATTTACATTGTGAAATTCTCAAAATGTGATTTCCTGTTGATGTTTTGGCTTATTTTTATTTTTTCTATTGCTTATTTGCTTAAGCATTTGATGACCAACAAATCAAAAATATTAGCCACCGAGAAATCGAACAAGATTTATTTGTCATTGACCATGTCAGGCAAAATGGATTTTTTTTTTTTTTTTTACCAAGTGTTTTAGTGCAGTGGCCCCACCCATTCCCAAAAAACACACCCTACAAAGTGTGAAATTGTGTTTTTAGCTGCATGTAGTCCAAACTAATTCAAAACTATTTGGAAAAAGTGAAATATATTTCTGTATACATATCTCTGTATAGTATGGATAATATTTTGAACAAGTGAGTTGTCCTGCTGTCCATTCATTTAGAATTGTCTCCCTTTATGTTCACAGAATTATATCCTTAATGATCCAGATTTATGTCCCTTTGTTAATACCCATATATAGTTTTGAATATTTTGCAAATTTTACCCAGATGTAGAATGCTATACAATGTATTTAATATATTTTATCTTATACATAAATTTGTTATAGATATTAAATGCTACCAATTTATTTGAATAAAATCTTTAGCAATGAATCACTGGTTATTTACTTTTTATACCCATCACTGTCACTATTATCTTTTCTTTATTAGTGCCTTTGTACCTTTATTTAAAGACTGATTTTAATGAAACTTGTTACTTATATTCCATTCTAAAATAACTCAAAACAAATTAATGTTACCAAAGATTTCTTTTTAGCAGTTATGCACCTTTTATTGGCAGATGTTGGCATTGTGTAAAAAACGAAAGGAACTTTTCCGTTCAATTTATTTCAAATATGATATGGTGATGCAACAAGTGAAGGGATGTGACATAAACCACAGGTTTTTATATCTCATACTTTCAGAGTTATGCCCCTTCTATTTCCATACATAGACATTATGTAAAAGTTCAATAAATATTCATTTCTTTATTTAGTTCATTTTGAATTTTGCAATAAAAGGGAGCACATCTTTGTTGACAATGAGCATGTTTTACATTTGTATTAAATGTGTGTTGCAAGTTTCATTAAAGTATGTAAAGTATATAAATAATGACAGGTAAGAACAGACAAAAACAATCAATAAAACCAAGGACCATATGCTACAAGTATGAGGCTGAATAGGAAAAGCATAATATTAGTTCAACATCCTTGCCTCTTTCATCCCCATACCAAATTTCAAAGTCATTCAAAGAGCAAATTACTAATGTTGAAATTTCATGCATTGTTAAACCTTTTGGGTCAAATGACATATAACCATTGTGCTGTATCCACTGCATCATGCATATACTTTTTCAAACCCTACTTCTCTTTCATACCGCATTGGATTTCAACCATATTTGGTTTGATAGATCATGGATGAAAGTAATCATTTCTTGAATTCAGAATTTTTATTCAACCCCTAGTTCGAGAAACAGGGCCAAAAAGAGGGAGGTGCTGAAATTAGCTTTGAATCCCCACTCCTCCTTCCTACCTGGAGGGATTTCAATAATCTTTGGCCTGATCCATCAGTTAGGGTAGGCAATTATTTCTTTAATTCAGAAATTTGATTCGACCCCTAGGGATTAGGGGCAGGACTCCAAAAGAGGACATAAGACAATATTTTGCTTCAAAATGGTGCTCTTTCTTAATGCTTGAATGGATTTCAACCAAATTTGGTGTGAAACATCATGTAGAGTGGAGAATCATTCCTTAAATTCAGAAACTTGATTCAACCTCTACGGACCTTGAGGCAGGCAGGGCCTCAAATGGGAAATTTAATCAATGTATTGCTTCAAAACACTACTCCTTCTTAATGATTATATGGATTTCAACCAGATTTGGTGTGAAACATCTTTGAGAGTGGAAAATCATTTTCTGAAATTCAGAAAGTTAATTTGACTCCAAGGGACTTTGGGGCGGGCCTGAAAGGGGAAAGATAGTCAATACTTTGCTACCCTTTCTCAATGCTTGAATGGATTTCAACCAAATTTGGTCTGAAACATCATTGAGGAAAGGGAATTATTTCTCAAATTCAGAAAAATTATTTGATCCCTAGGGACTCAAGGGCATTTCCCCTTGGAAGTTATGCGATACTTTGATTCAAAACACTACTCTTCCTTAATGCTTAAATGGATTTCATTCAATTTTCATCTGTAACATCAGTAGAGGTTGGCAAATAATTCTATATTGAGAAATATGATTTGACCCCAAAGGACTTAGGGGCATGGCCCCAAAAAAGTGAAATTAGACAATATTGTGCTTTCAAACACTACCAATCATTAATGCCTAAGTAAATATCATCTGAATCTGAAAGAATAAAGCAGGTAGGTTATCATTTCTTAAATTCAGAAAGTTGATTTGACCCCTAGGAACCTGGGAGTGGGCGGAGCCCCAGATGGGAAAGGTAGTCAATACTTTGTTTCAAAATGCTATTGTTTCTTAATGCTTAAATGGATTTCAGCTAAATTTGGTCGGAAACATCATTGAGGATGGGCACTCATTAATTATTTCTCAAATTCAGAAAGCTTATTCGACCCCAGAGGACTTATGGGCAGGGGAATTTAGGCAATATTATGCTTCAAAATGATACTCTTTCTTGTTATTTGAATGGATTTCAACCAAATTTAATCTAAAACATCATGGAGAGTTGTATATCAATTCTAAAATTCATTAAGTTGAGGCAACTATCTTGGATCTTGGATTTTGACAACTGAAGATTAAATTGTTATCACTATTTAATGAGAAGTATTGGTAGCATAACATCTCAGACTTGATGTGTAGATTTCCCATTGGTTCCAAATTGTGCTCATTCAATTTTGTGTCTGCCCAAGAAAACAAAATGGTCGAAGTATGTTATCGCTGTATTTCTCTGAATGTTTTTGTTAGGTCTTTCTTCGATTTCATATGTAGAATTTCCTTACTATCAAATATTTCAGAGTAAAAAGGAAAAGAGAAAAGTACAGAAAAGAATGATTATTCAATGGTGGGCACCAAGACCCCTCTGGAATCTCTTTTTTTTAATGATAATGGCAGTCAACTTCAACAGAGACTTGTTATAAAGGTAATGACGAGTACAAGACTGGGTATACTAGTATCATAGTACAAGATTCTGATTTCAGAAAATAAACCTTGTACCAATATTTTCCTTTTCCATTTATTGGAAACAGATTTTTAGTGTTCCAAACTGCATATCCATTGTCAAATTGGTTAAAATGCAAAAATATAGTTTCGGATAATGACTACCAGAATAAAAATGTCTTTTACATAATGGTTTTATCAAAGGAAAAATATATATGGTATCAATATATATTTCATAGACTGCTTCAGATTCCATTCCAAATACCAATATACTGAACTTTTTCCTTTGATAAAGAAATAAGATTGACACTTTCACTGTACTTGAACTTTTCTGTTTAACAAGATGAAAGGTTGAAGATTATAAAGAGTTTGAATATCAGAAAAAAAATTACAGGTAGTTAGAATAGAATTTGTGCATAATATGGAAAATGAGATCGGGACATTACATCAAGTTCCGATTATTTTTTTTTTTTTAAAGAAGAGAATCCAATAAGGAAACAAAAATTAAGTCAAAAGAAAAAAAAAACGACTTGGTTTAGGTATGGATTTATTCAGACCTTGTTTGTTCAACATTCACAATACTTTGTTTTATAAATCATAATAGTGATTTGCTGAAAGTTGAAAATTTTCCCCTAAAAGTGATCACAACTGTGTGTTTATACGTCTTTCTCATGATCATTTGATCAGTATATTTCAAATTTAATACGATCACACTTAGAAATAAGTCAACAGAAATAGATTAAAAAAACGTTGTTATGGAACTTGTTCATAAAACAAATACCATGTAAAACTTTTAACTTGTGTTTAACGGCTCGGTGTGAATATTGCAAGAACAAATGTCTCTTTCACATGAAGATATTTAACATAATTTATATATCTACATTATGTACAAAAAAAATACATAGAATTCAAAAGAAAAATACTGTTTTCAATTGAAATAAATTTTTTCATTTTTTTTTTATTTTCAGGATCCAGTGCTTCAATGAAACCATATTTCCGTCATAAAACTTTCAGGGTACCTGACTGTCTCCTTTCAATTGTTAATTCATTCATTCTCCTCATCAAATTATCACAGTTTCTTAATTGTCTTTTTTTCCGTGTAAGTTATCTCCCCTTTTTCATGAGCTCTCTACAAATCGTCTGAAATCTTCTAATGATATTCTTCCATTTGGATCCTGTGTACACTGAGAAATCAGCTGCAAGATAAAAATAGAATTTTATTCAATTGTGAGAGAAGTACATGATAATAATTTTTTTCAATTGATAAGCAATGCAGGTACAATCATACCTGCTTTATCCTACCCGACCCCATTCCACCCCTTATCCCCACTTCAATCCTGGCTATATCAACCATTTTGAATCAGTTCCAAGCACTATAAAAGGTCCCTTTATAGTTCTGTCTGCATGAAATAACCAGCTACCAATGATACTGATCCCTAAATTGGTCTAAGGATATTGATTTACTGAGCATAAAACTCAACAGTCATCAGACTAAATTCACACCCTAGGACATATTTATAAACAATTTATTAACAGACCCAAGTAGCTTAAACAAGTTAAAGGCTTGTAATTTTCTTGTTTTTTTTTTTTTTTTGGCAACAATTTAGGACAAATGCCAGTTACCTACAAAGGAGCAATATTGCTTGTATTTAGTTGTGTAAATAATTTTGTAAAGGCAACAAGGTAAACATTTACTAAAAAAAAAATTAAAAATTGTTACTTACTGCATTGATGACATCATCATCAACTGGGAGTTGTAAACTACGGCAGAGATTTTTCATGTTGTTGGCATCAATGTAACCTGTCCTGTCCTTATCGTATCGAAGGAACATCTCGTCCACTCGAGTCTTATCTGTGATGGCAATCTTTTTGAGTTGGGCACGAATCTGCTGTACCAGAATCTCTAGGTCACCCGCACTGTGGAGATTAATGAAAGAAAGAAATAAACAGAAATAAAGGTGAGGTTGCAACATGCCTAGATAAAAAAAATCAATCATTATATTCTGTTTATGTGAAGCAATGGATTTACTTATCATGAATCTATCAACAGAGTATACATCAATTGATATGACACAGTCCTTCACAGGAGTGTCATATCAAAGTTTTGGATGAGTTAACTTCAATGTGACATCAGGATAGGCAACAGTTTAAGATTCTATTTATCACATAATGCATATTCTTTAAAATATAAGAGAAATCTCAAATTTCTTGACATATAAAACAAATTTCCAAATGACTGATACATTATTGTGTTGTTGAGATGCTTCATCCTATCAGTATTGGCAATTGGAAATTTTCCCTTACAATATTTCACTCCAAATAAACTATAGATTAAACTATCAGGATCCTGTTCTTAAGTTTGGACAAGCTGACTTTGGGAGTCAAACCCACATCTCCCGTCACACCAGGGTTCAAACATTAAATTGCTCTACATTTCATTATTTAAAATGCAGATGTTTGGTATAAATCCATCATAGTTTTGTTTGGTCTTTGACCCTTCTTCACTGCCCCAGACATTGACTAAGTCCAACTTATTTTTTATTTAACCTCCATTGACCCTCCATTTACTGCCTCAGACATTGACTACATCTAACTTACTTTCGTTTAACCTTCATTGGCCCTCCCTTCACTGCCTCAGACATGGCTTGTGGCTCGGAAAGCTTTTGTTCTAACGAAGCTATTGTTGATTCTGAAAAGAAGCAATGTTGATTATTTTCACAGTCAGGAATGGATGAAAAAATAACATCAGGAAGGACAAAAATTTGAAAAGTCATGTAAAAATATCTGTGGAGGGATATTGACATGTCTTGAACACAAAGTTTTCACTACAATTTTAGAAATTATTAATATACTTTTTCAATTATTGATTAAACCCTTCTCTACTAGTAAGGTTAATCATAAAGTACAAAAACACATTTGTTTTGCTAGCAGGTTTTCAAGATAAACATAAATATAATTACGTGGGAACTGATGCTGATGACTTCTCATGTATTCCAGGACATAAGCATCAGCATTTGTGATGATGAAGCGGTGCTTAAAGATGTCAATCACAGCACCAATGTAGAAGTCCTGAGGACCGAAGAAGCTGGGTTGGTCAGGTGGGCAGTTGGGCTTAGCTACACGTGTTCTCTCTAAGAATTTTCCGCCAATGATTCCAGAATTTCTTACGGCAGGCTCGTAAATTGTCATCATATCATCAGCAAGGCGATAGGAAATGATGAATCGTCTGCCCTTGTCTTCTGGCTTCACAGAATCCTACAGACAAATATGTGTATAGATATTTATATTTGAGCTAACACCTGTCTGTATTTAAATGAATTGGATCATTTTTGGTGAAAACTTGGCAAATTGTATGATCACATTTCCAAGGGAGAGATTCTCTGCATTCAAACCATTCAGGTTAAGGTAAAGTATTTTGAGCTGCTCTTTCAAGTAAACTCACTAGATTTTTTAAATACTGGTATATGAAAAAAGAATAAGGGATTTTCTGATAAAATCAGAGATGAAAGCTATTGCTCTGACAATTCACATTCATAAATCCGATCAATCTGTATTGCCCTCGGGAAGAGATATATCACAAACATAAATGTAAGACAATGTTATCCCTTCATGTCACAGTTGGATGACGTCATAAGCTACTGATATTTAGCGATCAGAAAGAGTAGAAGGAAAACGATCACAAAAGCCCCATGAATGTATAACCCTTTGGATGAGATAATTCTGTCCACATCACATTGAGGTGATAGACTATTATTCCTATGGGATGCAGACTGAAGTGTAGATCCTACTATATGTTGGATGTTGGGAATTCATATATAAAAACAATCAATAAAATACTGACACATCTGCAAAATCTTAATTCACACTCAAATTTAATTAAACTAGGTTAAAATATAAACAAAGAACGATTTACACAGAAACCTCTAAAAAAAACTACAAGGAAAGTAAGATTAAGTGTTCCTGAAGAGTAAGCATTTTCTGCTCCAGCAACAAAATTCATATTAGTCCTAAGTGAGAATAAAACCATTCTAAGTTTTCCTCTAAAACATCTTAATGGTGTATTAGGAAGAAACGTGAACAGCTTCTGTTGTGTTATACTTCTTCTTTGAGAAGGAATGGGAGTCTAACATTATGAATCAGTGTTGTTTCATGTTCTGTGAATACCTACCATGATAGCTTCAAAGCGTAGCACTTTGTGGTCATTTTCTAACATCTTGATGAAGTCCTTTTTGGGCGGCTGTGGGATCAGGGAGAGACAGGATTGTAGGGAGTCTTCCAGGGATCCAAACTGGTTGTAGGGGGGGATTTCCTGGAAAACAGACCAAAACTTACTGTTAGCTGTTAAATGAAAGGATTTTTTGCACAAGTAGATATCACATATTTATTTAGAATGTATTAATTATGCATATATTAAATTCAATCATCAGGGGAGAACAAGGTTTTATTTCAGAGGGATAAAAAGAAATTTGAAAAATCTGGGAATTTCATCAATATTTGACTGATAATTTGACTCTTTTTGTCATCAAGTTAGGAATAGGCAATCTTCTTTAAGTGTTACAAGAATATTTTTTGATATTCATAGTATTTTTTCTCTCAAAATACTCACCAGAGCATGTGAAATATTTTGATACAAATACTGCCTAATTTATATTTCTTGAAATAGACATCAAAGTTTAAAACTGCAATAACTTTATCACAAAGATTGTATATGTATTGTACACTCAAATTATATAAGAATGGACAATGTAAAATAATAACCATTTTGGGAAGAGCTCTCGCCTTGTTCTTCACATCAACTGGCTTGAAATCTGTCATTCCAAAGTGCTGGTAGTAGAATGCCTTTGTGAAGTTATCAAAGTCGTAAACGAGGAACCGGCGCCCATAAATGGTCATAGGTTCACCTAATTTGAAGTCTTTGGGTGTGAAATATTCTTTGATTTCGTGTTCTGACAGCTCCATCACAACACCAGGGAATGATGATTCAATGTTGTATCTGTCTTTAGGAACTTTGTGCCGTCCAATCAAAACTGGGAATGGATCGCGTCCATCATTAGGCGTGTGTACTTCACGAACTTCCAACGTATCATCCACCAAGTAATACTAGAAAACAAAAATACATATAAGGAGTTTAGTGTTGACACTGACTAATTTCCGAAGAAAAAAAATTATAATAAAATCACACAACCTATAAATTCCGAAGTCTTGGTAAAACTGAAACTTAAAAAATCATGGTAATTCAATTTACTAACTCCATGAAGTCATATTTTTTGTGAGGTTCAATTTTTTTGGGTTCTCAAAAAAATCACCTTTTTTATGGACATTTGATTGTGTGGATAAACAAAACTCAATAAATCTACATAGAAAAGAACTAATGATATGAGAAAATAACTCACATGGATAACAAATGGTCTACTCTCGCCAAACATACTATCCTGGTCATCCCAGATACAGTAGAATCGCAGAACTTTACGATCCAGTTCCAGGAACTGTTTGAGCTTGTCAAAGGAGGAGGGAGTGTTGTAGGTTCGGAGGGCAGCTGCTTCCTTCCTCCTCTCGATGTACGGGTCAGTGGGGGCACCCTCACTGTCATTCACCACCATACCTTCACTCTCCAGGTAATTCTGTAGGAATTCATGACAGATGTTACATCATTTGATGTCATCTATTGATATAAGTTGAACTTATTTGAGGAAGAGCAAACGCACTGTTGATTTTTCTTCTCTAGTTACAAAGATATAAAGTGGATCATCAATATTAACATCTTGTACCTCTATTGTCACAATAACTCACCCTTGTGAATGCATCACAGTTGACAATTCTGAAAATTTTTCCATAAAACGTAACATTCATTCCATTGTTGAGATCCCTCCAGTGCCAGTTATTGCCCTGGTCATCCTTGGGAAGTCGTTGCCTCTTGATCAGCTTTCCTGCAATTCCAAAGCGGAGATGTTTAGGCATGAAAAACTATTCATTATTCAAGTTTATGCCAAAACCTAAAACCATAAGTTATGAAAAAATGAAATTCTACTAAATCAATATAATATTTTGTAATTGTTTCATAACATTGTCAAAATAAAGGAATTTGTCAGCAAATGGTGATTTATGGTCAACATAAAGTGCAACATTTATCAAAGTTGTTGAACAAGAGGCTGCACTCACAAAAAACCAACACCCCAAACCCCATCTCTAATTTTGGGCAATAAATTTTTCACTGAGCTTGACAGAGCTTAGGCATTTGCAGTACAGTATCATATACCCATATGTAAGTAGTTTAGAGACAGCTTTACTATGAACTTGTGCTTTGATATTTCCATTTAAAAGCAATCTGTTTTACCTTGTGGCATGCCAGAATTTTCCACATGAGGTTCAACAACAGCAATGCTGTCATCCTCAAGGTAGTAGTATAAATCTACAGGTCGTACTCTGTAGAACTCATCTGGAGATTCATGGACAGTTTGTTTAAAGTAGGCATTGAACCTTAATACCTGTCAAAACAACAAAAGAATATTGACAAATCAACAAAACTGTTAATCAAAGTCAATTTCATTAGAATTGGCAGTGAAATAGATTTGTACAAAAAAACCTAAAACCATCTCTTGCTCCATTGGTGAATCCATCAAGTATGAATCTGAGTTAATTAGAATTATGCCAGGATCTCAAAATGAGAACAGTGTTAAAAATTGAATTAAAATAGAACTCTGTTGAAACCTTAGAAGCTGAAATCATACTAAATAAAAAATTGACGATGTAGTAAGGGTTGATGAAATGATGAATAACTCATATGCTTTGATGTCTGTCAATTATTAAACTGCATTACAATGTTCTTAATGTGAATTGGTATCACAGCATTTTACCTTTTTGTCCCATGCTACATGGCCGGGTACAAAGTCTTCTGGTGGGGCCTGTTTTGCTTGACCATAGGTCAATGTTGGGTTGAAATTTGCCAGCTCATCAAGCTCCTGTTCAGAGAGCTGGTTGTATACAATGGGCACACCACCAATTCCTGTGGTTGGCAGAGACTGTGTAGCATAGCCATTCTTGTAATTGAGGGAATGACTTCTATGGTATTTGGCTTTCTGAAAGAGACAATACAAGAACCATGTGTGAAATTTGTCAACTGTAAATCCTGTTAACAAAATATGAATTTCATTGATTGGTGTTTTTATACAGAAACAGCAGGGACCAGTGACTAGATCCTGTGTATCATCTCTTTTCTGGTAATCTTTGAAATGTTTAAAGCCTACATCATTACTTTGCTGATCTTATTATGGATTATTTCAGTAATTCTGTTTGTAACAAATAGTGACATTTTACAAAGTGTCTTGTAAACAGGCAGTTTTAAGTTCAGATAATCACTAGACATGCAGATTCAACAATCAGCATCATTATCATAACCATGATAGTGCTATGTCATGTTTCCACCCATAAAACAAAAAGATTCAGGTTAACATTACTGTATCCTGAGTAGGTCATTATTAATATCTAACATTGTTTGTTTAATTGTAATGCTCTATTGTGCATTTATCTTAATGTTACTTAATGCTGTTTTCCAACACAGGTTCATATTGAAGTCGAATAAAACATCATTACAGCATACTACATAGATCTTGATGAAGTCAATTTGACATATGTGTAGCACGGTCTTCCTACATAATACTTCAAATGTGTTCAAACAGATGATTCCTCGAAATGTATGTAAAATTACGGATAGCTAAAACACAATCATGGTCAAATACGTTTTGTATAATCATCTCGACTTCAAACCACAAAACAAATAAATAAACACTTTACCTGTGAATTAATTCGACCTATCTAACTTTAAGCAACTTCAACTTAGGCAACATACTCAAAGTCGATATGTTTGTTATGATATTACTCTCAGTCTCGAACTTGAAAAAACAGCATCAGCATTGGACATCGAAATCGCCTGTTGCCATTTAGTTTCGAATACCATTAATTGAGATACTTACTGTTGGATCTACAAAACTGTTTCCTGGGAGGAACGGTAGCCCTTCCATGGCGAATGTTTTTCTCCTAACAACCTAAACTTAGACCCTTCTTCTATCCAACTTGTTATCCCCAACAACACGATACACACCGGACACTGTTGCTGTGTCGTTGCTATGTAAACAAAGTTAACGCGAGATATCACGAGATATAATTCTAAGCGCCACCTTCCGGCTGTTCTGACTAATCATACCTCCGTTAAAAGAGAGTTCTTACCAATGGACGTCAGATTCGGTGACAGATCTCCGCCTCAACTTTTCTATTTAACTTTTTCCGACGCGATGAAAGTGTTAAAAGTGCCAAATTAGCAATAATGGAGGAGGTAACTTATAGTCATTTGTGTGCAGTTGTTTGTAGCACGACTTAATCTTAACTTTATGATTTCTTGTCAAATGTGGATTAGAGTTGATGAAACTGCAGGGTCAGATGTCTTGTTACATCATATGTAAATAGACAATATAAGCTGAATTCGTCGTTCCGGATTCTGAATAACTATACGTCGATTATTTGTATGGAAACTGGAATGTTGTTTGAATAGTGGTAACAACCGAACAAGCTGTTTTCATATGATGATGAAATTATGCTAAATTTATTACAAAAGTTAAAAGGCCAGCCAGTTTTAATTAGGTTTGATTAATCTGTCGTTTGTTATAATATTATATGCTTTGATATATCTATTAAAGGTAAGGGCATGATACGATATGACATATTCATAACATACATTACCATATTGAAAAGAAAATACTTGAAAATACCGAATCTGAGAATTCAGTAACTATTTGATGTATTATTTTTTTTCAATTTTCTTTTAAGGTCAAAAGTGGCATGGTGACTTTGAATGACGGGAAAACACGTCCGCAACCGATAAAATTGCAGTTGTCCAATGATACATTGACATTATTAAAGGAGGAGTTGGTTCCAGTCTACCAGGAAGAAAATGCAAATGAACTTATCAACAAAGTAAAAACAAAATACTCATAGTAGATTTTACTAACAAGTATACCAAAGTTTCAAAATTCAGATTTTCTTTAAAGAAAAATATTCACTTCATTGAAATTTTTATTGGTTTACACATTTCTGCCTTTTCAAAATTAAAGCACAATTCTTCCTGAAGGAAGGACAGTGAAATCCAACTTTCCCCCTTTTTGTAATTGACCAAATTTTCATATTTTTTTTAAAATACATTCAACTGATGTATTTAATAGATTATTTTTTATTCAACAAAATATAGTCCTATTTATTGATAACACAGGTGAATCCAATTAATCACCTTTCATTTCATAGTCAATTAATTCTTTTGACATATGCAGTATAAAAAAATATGTACAAATCAGGCTAGCTTGTCTCACTAATGATGTATCTTATCTTTCTATTGAACATTTTTACTTAATACAATCAATCACCAATTATGATATGATACCCAATTTCAAATAATTGTTTATTTTAAGGTAAGGGAGGTTGTAATCCAGAAGCATGAGAAGACAGGCTTGGGAATTAGTTTAAAGGGTGGTGCTGAGAACCGGCTTCCTGTGCTAGTGTCCAAGTTAGTGCCAGGACAGGCTGCAGCCCTTACTGGTGGTCTGTATGTAGGGGATGCCATTTTAAAGGTACCAAGCTATGGTTTTATCAGGAGTGTCAACAGATTTTTAAATGCCATTTAATAAGATTTAGGTTTTCATTTTTAAGGGAAGTCCAGCAGGTAAAGGATATGCTCAGGTACTAAATAACTGGAGTGCTGATTCTTGATCCCAAAGACAATTACAGAACTATAATTATAAAATAAAGAAGGATTTGTATCAGTTTACCCTTTAAAATTTATATAAGAAGTTGAATTTCAATATTCATCACATATAACTTATCTCTGTTGTCGCTCATTTATCAAATTTCTGATTGAAGAAAGTTAGATGGCTACAATTAAAATAGAGGGTAATTATAAAGTCTACTGGAAACATATCGGTGATTTTTGGGACACAGATATTTCATTCCTGGACTTGTGCTTTCCCTCGCTCAAATTTTGAGAACCAACTATATCTGTTGCTATTGGGACTCGTCAGTATTTTCTAATCCGTATTCTGGACTGATCTTAAAAAAAATGCTTTAAGAAATACTGCATAAGAACATTTTTTGAAGCAGGATATTTGACATAATCTGCATATAGTACTTTAAACAACCTCAAGCAAGTTTTTTTCCAATACATGGTTATATAAAATTATCATTCTCAATAAATACAACAATTTTTCCTGAAACATGAGATACATGTATATGTAAAAGATATCAATCCAAATTTGATATTCTAATAAAAGGAAAATGTAGAACTTGTTATATTTTTAAGGTAAATGGAGAACCATGTGACAGGGCCACCCATGATGAGGTCATCAGTTTATTAAAATCAGCTGGGTCAGAGGTGACTCTGGTTGTGAAACACTTCAAACCTGCTGCCATTTTTCTCAACAAAGGTAGGTCAATACCATATCAGATGTAATATTCTTCATGCCTTTTTGTGTATGTGTGCTATTTTTCGCAAAAAAAGAGACTTATTTCATTTTCAGAGTGAACAGCAAATTTAGGATTTTTTTTCATAAATAACAAATATCCGATTAGAAATTATGTCTATTATCAACCAAAATTTTTCTGTCAAATAGTTCCCTTTGCCCTATTCACTATTTTCACTATTATGTACATGACCCAAACAGAACTTCAGCATACTACAGGGGTATACTGCAAGGAAAGTCCATTTCACTATTGTGTACATGACCCAAACAGAACTCCAGCATACTACAGGGGTATACTGCAAGTAAAGTCCATTTCACTATTAGGTATGCCAATTAAATTATTAACTTATCAGTACATAATATAAATGTTTTTTTTTCAGATCAGCAGACTGGCAATAACAACAATTCTCCAATGGTAAGTACGTGAAATATGATACACTAATAAGACTAAATTCAACGAGACTTCCTGCTCAATGAATTACGACAAATTCATGTTCACTTTCAGACCAGCATGTCATAACTTTAGAATTACAGCAGTTTCTTGAAGTATACTTTGTACTTTGATGTAAGACAAAATCAGGATCAGCATACCCACTGTAAATATATTAACAGTAGGCACTAGATTATTGTTGGTAGATTTTTATAAAGTGTCAGATATATCAAAATTTTAATATCGTAATATATACATGTATAGAAAAGTAGCTGATTCTTACATCCTGATCCTATCAATTGTTTTTTGCGATTTTATGGTTTACTTTTGTATTGAGAACACTGTGTACAATGTAAGTTTATTATTTCAAGTTTTTGATCCCATTGAGTATTAAGGTAAAGAGAAAGCAAGGGGAGATAATCCTAATAAAAATACAATGAGTCATGTGGTTTAGTTGAATTTGTACAGGAAGAAGACTCGTCCCAGTTTCCACGTCTGGAGCGTCAGTGGTCTGTTTATGTCTCTATACCACTGCTGTTTGCCTATCTCACTCGCTACTGTCCTGGTACTGACAAACTCAGGTAAGTCTTAACATTATCTCTCTAATCACAGAGTTTTTTTTTTATTACATTTTATCACAAAATGTTGATATTTTGCCATTGCTGTTTCAGGTTGGAAAAAATTAAGATATAAGCCAAATATTTTTCTGAAGCAATTTTTTCTCTGAAAGATCATTGACTTTATTTCCATATTTCTGATAATATTCGGAGGTTATCTTTTATGTTAAAAATAATCTGTTTCAAAGCATTCATGAGGTTCCATTGTATTCTCTTTAAGCCAATAAGTGTTAATCAGCCCATCCACATCTAGTGCAGTTACAGCCTGTTTTGTCATTATCCTGTGATTAGCCTGCCCTCTCTTCAGCTCTTGTCTACTTTGTGTCGGAGAGTATGGTTGGCTCCCTGTACATATTACAGGATAAATAAAATATAGTTTGACTTTCTTGGAAGGGTTTGGTCTAAATGATGTTTGATTTGTATCTATCATAATTGGAATTTCTTCTCAGGGCGAATGCATTTGAGGTTGTCAGCGTTGACGGGGCCTCGACTGGCGTGATCCATTGTGACGATAGCCACTCATTGGCTGATTGGATCAGAGCTATCACCAATAACATCTCATCTCTCTTAGCTCAGATGGTATGTTTTACTTAAAATACCCAATTCTCCGCTTGTTATAGGAATTGGAAATAGTAAGAAAGCTGTACACATTCAATCATCTTGTCTCTGGAAGAAATTTTTTTGACACTATAGTCACATCATGTTTCTGCTCAGGAGTGACATTTTGTCCAAAGCCTGTTTAGGTGTTATAGAAATTTTTCATTTGAAAAAGAAATTGAAGAAAAAGCAGAGATGTTTTCTATCAAGAATATCCAAGACCATTTATGAATCTTTGAAAATTTGAAGTGTTGGATCCCATAAGTTTGTGAATAAGATATCAGACTTTCAAAGGTACAAAAGGGTTCCCAAATATGGCCTGCTTCTGCAACTAAAATACCCAGAATCCAAAAGTGATAGAACCTACCGGTATATTTAAGTTGATATGAAGTGAACCAGGCTTGCTAATTATGCTAACATTGCTGACATGGTCTACTTACAAATTTTAAGCGTTTTTTTCACTTTGGAAAATTTCATCAAACCCCATGGCCTTCATTAATATAGGATTCTATCTTTTATTTTATTATTATTGTATTTTTTTCAGTTTGAAAAATTTTTTTTTTTGCATTTCACTGTAATTACCTCATATGGTTTCTTTACCATTTCCATCAATATTAAATCCCTAAATGTTTGCAAACTTATTGTCTGTCTTTCTCATGATCATAAGTTCCAGTGTTTTTTATTTTGATTTTGTAGATAAAGATGAGCAACAGGCTGCTGATACCAGAAGAACAGGTACAAGCCATGACATACAAAAAACATTGTTGATGTTGTAATTTGATGACAAAGGCAGAGATGTTTCTTTTCTTTTATTAAATCTGTGTTTTAAGTTGACATATTCAAGTAGGCACATTCTGAAATAATCTATGGGGTGACAATGAAATAAGTTTACAAAATTGAAATCAACCAGGTACTGAAAATATTTCGCTTCCAATAAAAGTCTTAATCATTGATAAGAAAGCTTGTAACATAATAACACTGCACCCAGTTTTGAATGTCCTTTACCCAAAATAGTAACATCTGAGCCGAAACATATTTGATTTCACATGTATGTGATCATTATCTTCGAGCAAGAATGATATTCATCGCAATCAAAATATCTCATGAGAAACTTTTGGTCTCAGTTCAGCTCCTGTAGGTGACAGTGTTTCATAAAAGAATACATTTTCCTCATTATTTAGTAGTAATTGCCATGAAAACAAGACATATCTCTCATCATAACAACGTTCAACTTATAATATCATGAAGGACTTTGAAAATTGGTAAAAACCATCCAAACTACATTAAATTGTCCCTTTCTTCTTTGGATGGTCTACAACCCATCACTACATAAATATCTTGTTTGAAAGTTGTGGCCTCATTCCATCTTGTTCTCAGGATCAAAATTATTGAAAGCTTAGTCGGGAGTTTGAGTTCTATTGCTATCCTTGTCTTTTTTTATGTCGATATTGTACACAATTTTTCCTTGTTTCTCTAGATCTTGTACATGAGTTGGACCCAGGAGCGAGTGTCACCAGCAAGACATTGGCAGGCATGGAAACCAAAGTTCCTATCTTTGAAAGGAGCAGATGTCTGTCTGTTTGATATGCCACCTGTAAGTGAATTTTACTCGCTGTAGTCTTGTGTTATTATGCTGACTGAAGGAAGAACATATAGTCACTGCTTTTTCTGTCCATCCTTCCGTCTGTCCAATCATCTGACCATTTGTCAGTCTGTTTGTCCATCATAATTTTGTCCAGTGCATAACACAAAAACTATAAGAGGAATTGTTATAAAACTTCATATGTATATAGATCTCAACAAGGACAAGTACAATGCACAAGAACCATCACTCTGTTTTGCATAATTTAGGAGTTATTCCCCTTCATTACTTTTCTGCTTTAATTTTATCTAGGGCATTACACTAAAACTATATCAACATTGAAACTTGCTAGGTAGATAGATCTCAATGAGAAGGAAGACAGTGCACAAGATTCATAACTGTCTTATTGCCCTTTGGTTTTTTCCCTTCTTAAATATTGTCCCATAAGGAGGAGCATCGCTCATCTCTGACAACCCTTGTTCTAACATGTTTTATTCACATGCAAGTTCAATGAAATAATTCCAACATGTCACCAATAGGCTTAATAGATTAGAGTTTGGAGTAAAGGGGTGCCTATAGCTCAGTCAATAGAGCATTGAACAACATCATGTGAAGATCTTGAATGGTTGATTCAAACTACCCACTAGTGGCAGTGTTCCTCAGGAAGCTGAAAACTTTCCTGTTTTGGTTGCAACAATGTGTTCTTTGGCCGAAAAGTTTACCCGAATTGCTCAAGATGGCATGCAATGGGCCTCCATTATGTTGTTCAGCAAGGTAGTCACCAGCTTTTAAATGAAGAATTTACTTTGAAATTACCCTGACTGGTTACAAGGTGATAAACCTCACAAACACTGCATTAGGAGGGAGCTATGCTATTAATTGTAGTTTTAAGAAATATCACAATATACTATGACCTCTTACATGTGCTTTTGTTTTAGATGCAGACACGCGACTGGGTACGATGTGATACCGTATTTAAACTCTATGAGTGTATGTTTAAAGTATTAAAGGTAAGTTTTCAAATTTACATAACATTTGTCACTGCTTTGTCCGTCTTTTATAATTTTGCAAGGGGCAAACCACAAAATTTAGAAGAGGTATCAACATTAAACTTCAATGGTAGATAGATCTCAAACAAAGAGAAATGCAGTGTACAAGAACCATAACTTTCTTTTGATATAGGAGATATTGCCCTTTGTTATTTTTCATACTTTGTCCCGTTCGGGAGCATAACTTGTCTCCGACAACCTTTGTTCATATTGGAGTAAAATTAGAAATACTGTATTTTCTGGATTACATGCAGTGGCTTTTTCATTGGCTGTCAGGTGTGCAGCTTATATTCCAGTGTGGTTTATATGTGGATGAAAAAAATTCTACAGAATGCAAAAAAGAAAAATGAAGCATATCAGTACACCAGTATGAGCAATTACCAAGTTTGTGTCTGAAACAGATCGTCTAGAACTGTCATTTACAATTTTATACATGATGATTCAGATTGAATTACACTCTCTCGGATTTAATTAATCATACCTTTTAATATGAATCACAATAATATCTTCTGAACTTTCGTGGTCGCTTCAGAAGCCATAGCGGAAGTTTACGATAGCATGTTGCATACTGGGATCGATAGGTCATCCGGCCAAATTCTAACACAACCGCCATGCTTGTTTACAATAAGAATGGCTTTGTGTAACTTATAGGAAATATCATGGGACTATAAGAATTTGGTCAGCATGCAAGGGCCTTTGCCAATATTTAACAGTACAGACACCAACAGTGATATTAAGTAAACCATATGTAATATCGGGCCCTATATCTGTGCATAGACAATTTTTGAAGGCTCTCAACCCAGACGAGTTCTATAATTGCTCTTTTATGGTTTTGAAACACATCAATAAAATAAAGGATTATCTGTGTATAAATCATTTGCCAACATACATTCAAAATTTCACAGACAATCTTGATAAATTGCCTTCAGTCAACAAAACGGTTACAACATTGTAAGAAATGATGCAACTTATATTCCAGTGCGCCAAAATATGTGGATTTAATTGAAAAAATATTACACTTGTAGAATATCATATGCAGTAAATTAAATGTTTGACATACGATATGGATGTTTGTATGTGTTAGAGAGTGGTAACATGGATATGGATAAAAACTAACACCACACATATGTGGCTTTGTGATACTGTGATCATATATATATATATATATATATATATGTAAGTATTCAATGAAATGATGCAGGCTTTGATATTTTTCTCGAAGATGTGTCATTTACATTGACTATAAATGCTCCATATAACATACGGTATATGTAAGTATCTAATGACATATAGTGTTCCTTAAAGTACAACATACATGCCTTTAACATTTAACATGATCAACACTCCAATTTCATCAAACCCAGAGAAAGCATTGTCCACATGTAGATTCGAATCTTACTTTTTGAATACCTTTGTGCTAATATACATCACATTTGTCAGTCGTGTTATGAAACCCAGTCATATTTTCATGCATTAATATGTTCTTGTCTACATGTTAGGACCCTGAGTTGCTGGACGATCGACAACACTCCTGTACTATACAGACCGGCACAGGTGAGAAGTTTTACCTGAGTACTGATAGTCGCAGTGACTTGTTACACTTGGAGAAGGCTTGGTACAGGTGTAATCACAACAGTATTGTCAAACTCAAGGTACGTATCTCAAACCAATCACTGACTGACATTGTCTTACCTACCACCCACATATCACTCACTCTCATTGTCTTACCTACCACCCACATATCACACACTCTCATTGTCTTACCTACCACCCACATAACACTGACTGACATTGTCTTAACTACCACCCACATAACACTGACTCTCATTGTCTTACCTACTACCCACATATCACTGACTGACATTGTCTTACCTACCACCCACATATCACTGACTCTCATTTTCTTACCTACCACCCACATATCACTCACTCTCATTGTCTTCCTACCACCCACATATCACTGACTGACATTGTCTTACATACCACCCACATATCACACACTCTCATTGTCTTACCTACCACCCACATATCACACACTCTCATTGTCTTACCTACCACCCACATAACACTGACTCTCATTGTCTTAACTACCGCCCACATATCACTGACTCTCATTGTCTTACCTACCACCAACATACCACTGACTCTCATTGTCTTACCTACCACCCACATATCACTGCCTCTCATTGTCTTACCTACTACCCACATAACACACACTCTCATTGTCTTACCTACTACCCACATATCACACACTCTCATTGTCTTACCTACCACCCACATATCACTGACTCTCATCGTCTTACCTACCACCAACATATCACTGACTCTCATTGTCTTACCTACCACCAACATACCACTGACTCTCATTGTCTTACCTACCACCAACATACCACTAACTCTCATTGTCTTACCTACCACCAACATACCACTGACTCTCATTGTCTTACCTACCACCCACATATCACTGACTCTCATTGTCTTACCTACCACCAACATACCACTGACTCTCATTGTCTTACCTACCACCCACATACCACTAACTCTCATTGTCTTACCTACCACCCACATAACACACACTCTCATTGTCTTACCTACTACCCACATATCACACACTCTCATTGTCTTACCTACCACCCACATATCACTGACTCTCATCGTCTTACCTACCACCAACATACCACTGACTCTCATTGTCTTACCTACCACCAACATATCACTGACTCTCATTGTCTTACCTACCACCAACATATCACTGACTCTCATTGTCTTACCTACCACCAACATACCACTGACTCTCATTGTCTTACCTATCACCAACATACCACTGACTCTCATTGTCTTACCTACTACCCGTATAACGGTCTCAGTTCCCTGACTTTGAACACGACAAATTTGTTTGCTGCCGCCATAAGAATAAATGTGATTGGAAAGTTTTGCTCAGTAGCTGTTTATGGATTAGCTATTCCCTAAATTTATATGTAAATATGTGATTCAATGATATTTGTGTTTTCAGAGTCGAACTTTTGGGTGTACATGGCGTGGTCGCTTGTCAGGGTTGACTCTTGACCTTGAAGCAGGATTCTCTTTATATGACAGTGAAACCAAGGTAATTACACCTAGTTATCCTAAGTGATGGGGATGGGCTTATTAAAGGACAAAGATATTTTGTACCACAAATTTAGTTGATGTCAGTGGGTTTATTACATGCATGTTGTTGGACTAATATATTCATTTTATTTTTAGAGTAGAAATTGAAACTTTTTATCCTAAAATTCTGGTTGCTTCAAGGGAGAAATACTAATTGAATTTCCATCTGTGTATCAATTTTCAAGAATTTACATTAATGTAAATGTGAAATTTTATATTTCTTCCTAAATCATTCTACTGATTGGTATGTATATTTTTTTGTTCGACATTGATACATTTTTCAAATTTTTTGTCTTTTAGAGCTACAAGTGGGTCTACAAATTTTCAAGATTAAAGGGATCATCCGATGATGGAAAGTCCAAACTCAAGTTACATTTTAGTACTGAGAACTCTGGTGTTGAAGTCAGAGTAAGTCTGACACAGACTAGCATCAAACATACACAAGTTTTAAAATCTATATAGTACTGAACTAGAGTGACAGCTTAGTGACTGAGGGAAAAGGTTTAATTGACGTGAAACAATAAGATAGATGATTGTGAAAATTGGTTTGCAATAAGTTTGTCACAATGCTGTGTTTTAGGCCTGGTTTTGAACTCATGTAACACACATCGGCCCTGAATGATTGTATAAAGTCTGGGAACTATTGCTTATATAGTTAGAAATCATTCTTGATGTTTGAAATATAGCTGTGATCATACAGACTTTCTATGATTGATTAAAAACTAAACACTACATGTGAAAGAGTCAAGTGTGAAACATAATCTGCTTATTTTGAAATGTTTTGTCTTGAATAAGGACTTGAGATTGAGCAGTGTGCTTAGATCTTTGAAGTTTGAATACAGGTTTATCTACACAGGTACCTAGAGACATAGACACAGTTTTATTATTCTGGGGACCTAGACACAGTTGTCTCTTCTACACAGGGCTTTAGGGACCTAAACACAGTTGTCTCTACCACACAGGGCTCTGGGGACCTAAACACAGTTGTCTCTACCACACAGGGCCCTGGGGACCTAAACACAGTTGTCTCTACCACACAGGGCCCTGGGGACCTAAACACAGTTGTCTCTACCTCACAGGGCCCTGGGGACCTAAACACAGTTGCCTCTTCTACACAGGGCCCTGGTGTCTCTTCTACACAGGGCCCTTGGGACCTAACCACAGTTGTCTCTTCTACACAGGGCCCTGGGGACCTAAACACAGTTGTCTCTTTTACATAGGGCCTTGGGAACCTAAACACAGTTGTCTCTACCACACAGGGCCCTGGGGACCTAAACACAGTTTTCTCTTTTACATAGGGCCTTGGGAACCTAAACACAGTTGTCTCTACCACACAGGGCCCTGGGAACCTAAACACAGTTTTCTCTTCTACGCAGGGCCCTGGGGACCTAAACACGTTTGTTTCTTCTACACAGGGCCCTTGGGACCTAAACACAGTTGTCTATTTTACACAGGGTCTTGGTGAACTAGACACATTTGTATGCTCTACTCAAGGCACCAGGGACCAAGACACAGTTTTCTCTTGTACACAGGGCCTTGGTGAAGTAGACACAGTTGTTTCCCCTACACAAGGTGCCAGAGACCTAGACACAGTTGTCTCCTCTTCACACGGCCTTGGTGACCTAGACACAGTTGTCTCCTCTTCACACGGCCTTGGTGACCTAGACACAGTTGTCTCCTCTTCACAGGGCCTTGGTGACCTAGACACAGTTGTCTCCTCTTCACAGGGCCTTGGTGACCTAGACACAGTTGTCTCCTCTTCACAGGGCCTTGGTGACCTAGACACAGTTGTCTCCTCTTCACACAGCCTTGGTGACCTAGACACAGTTGTCTCCTCTTCACACAGCCTTGGTGACCTAGACACAGTTGTCTCCTCTTCACACGGCCTTTGTGACCTGGACACAGTTGTCTCCTCTTCACAGGGCCTTGGTGACCTAGACACAGTTGTCTCCTCTTCATACAGCCTTGGTGACCTAGACACAGTTGTCTCCTCTTCACAGGGCCTTGGTGACCTAGACACAGTTGTCTCCTCTTCACAGGGCCTTGGTGACCTAGACACAGTTGTCTCCTCTTCACACAGCCTTGGTGACCTAGACACAGTTGTCTCCTCTTCACACGGCCTTTGTGACCTGGACACAGTTGTCTCCTCTTCACAGGGCCTTGGTGACCTAGACACAGTTGTCTCCTCTTCATACAGCCTTGGTGACCTAGACACAGTTGTCTCCTCTTCACAGGGCCTTGGTGACCTAGACACAGTTGTCTCCTCTTCACACAGCCTTGGTGACCTAGACACAGTTGTCTCCTCTTCACACAGCCTTGGTGACCTAGACACAGTTGTCTCCTCTTCATACAGCCTTGGTGACCTAGACACAGTTGTCTCCTCTTCACAGGGCCTTGGTGACCTAGACACAGTTGTCTCCTCTTCACACAGCCTTGGTGACCTAGACACAGTTGTCTCCTCTTCATACAGCCTTGGTGACCTAGACACAGTTGTCTCCTCTTCACAGGGCCTTGGTGACCTAGACACAGTTGTCTCCTCTTCACAGGGCCTTGGTGACCTAGACACAGTTGTCTCCTCTTCACACAGCCTTGGTGACCTAGACACAGTTGTCTCCTCTTCACACGGCCTTTGTGACCTGGACACAGTTGTCTCCTCTTCACAGGGCCTTGGTGACCTAGACACAGTTGTCTCCTCTTCATACAGCCTTGGTGACCTAGACACAGTTGTCTCCTCTTCACAGGGCCTTGGTGACCTAGACACAGTTGTCTCCTCTTCACACAGCCTTGATGACCTAGACACAGTTGTCTCCTCTTCACACAGCCTTGGTGACCTAGACACAGTTGTCTCCTCTTCATACAGCCTTGGTGACCTAGACACAGTTGTCTCCTCTTCACAGGGCCTTGGTGACCTAGACACAGTTGTCTCCTCTTCACACAGCCTTGGTGACCTAGACACAGTTGTCTCCTCTTCACATGGCCTTGGTGACCTAGACACAGTTGTCACCTCTTCACACGGCCTTGGTGACCTATACAGATTTTTATACAATTGAAGACATGTCACATCAAACCAATGGCCCTGTATACTGTAATGTCGTTTACAGGCATAAGATCAGGAAATGTGATTGTATTTTAAGGAGGTGAAGCTTACAACGAAATCAGAATTATGAATTACAACTTATTAGCCTCAGATAATTTATTAGATATATTGCTGTAGTCACCATTGTGTAATGGAAAATATTCTCTGTTATTGTCTCCCTTTACAGGAAGTGGAGTGTACAAATCTACAGACTCTGCTGTTTTGTATACATGCGTTCTTGTCGGCCAAACTTGCCTCAGTAGACCCAGCCTTCCTCACCAACTACTGACCACTGAAGCCACACACCTGTAATGACCAGTTGATTAACCGATCAAATCTCAAAGTAATGACAGACTACAGGAACCACACAAGATAGACTGATCGATGGAATCTCCAAGGATTGACCGTCCAGTGGTCGTCAATACCTATGCCTGATGGGTTCACGTCTACTTATAGACAACTGATGTGTGCAGCACAACATGTTGATGTCCTGTCCAGGCATGTTTAGTAATCTGTGCAATATCATAACTTCATTGTTAAAACATGATGTTCTTGTTAAGATACCTTCTGACTATAACTTTTATGTAAGGACAGTTTCATCTCCTGATGTTTATGAAAGGACAATATTGTAAAACCATGTTCATGAAAAGACTATTTTATCGTACTGTATTTATTGAAAGATGATTTCTTACTGCAATGTTTGTAAGGACAATGTTATGTGTATCTAAAGACTAGTTCACTATAGGATGTTTCTGTGAGGACTAGTTCACTCTTTGATGTTTCTGTGAGGACTAGTTTACCCTATGATGTTTCTGTAAGGACAAGTTCACCCTGTGATGTTTCTGTGAGGACTAGTTCACCCTATAATGTTTCTGTAAGGACTAGTTCACCCTATGATATTTCTGTAATGACTAGTTCACTCTATGATGTTTCTATAAGGACTAGTTCACCCTATGATGTTTCTGTAAGGACAAGTTCACCGTATGACGTCTGTCAGGACTAGTTCACCCTATGATGTTTATATAAGACTAGTTCACCCTATGATGTTTCTGTAACGACTAGTTCACCCTATGATGTTTCTGTGAGGACTAGTTCACCCTATAATGTTTCTGTGAGGTCTAGTTCACCTTGTGATGTTTCTGTAAGGAAGGACTAGTTCACCCTATGATGTTTATATAAGACTAGATCACCCTATAATGTTTCTGTGAGGTCTAGTTCACCTTGTGATGTTTCTGTAAGGACTAGTTCACCCTATGATGTTTCTGTAAGGACTAGTTCACCCTATGATGTTTCTGTAAGGACTAGTTCACCCTATGATGTTTCTGTGAGGACTAGTTCACCCTATAATGTTTCTGTGAGGTCTAGTTCACCTTGTGATGTTTCTGTAAGGACTAGTTCACCCTATAATGTTTCTGTAAGGACTAGTTCACCTGTGATCTTCCTGTCAAGATGATTTCTGCACAGGGGAAGGAAATGTACCTTTATTGTCAACAAGAATTCCCAAAATTGTATTTTACTTTGAAGTCATAGAGACCTCTATGATCTACAAGGTTGACTGGAACTGACAGAACATTGACCTATGTCAAACAAAGGGAAGCAACTTTTAAAGACATAAACCAAGGTCTGTATCATTTGTTTAACTTATTAGACAAAGGTTGTTTGGTTTGTTTGCGGAAACAAGAATGCACTCCGCTTCTTGACAAGCCTTGATAGAGACCTCTAAAGCCCAAATCTGTCACAATTTTATGCTTGAAATGTTACATTTGAAACATAATCACTGAAAAAAGGGAAAAAAACTTGGTCTTTGATAGGTATGTAGGTACCAGTCAGGCCTTTCAAGGTCAGCTGTAGTCATGGAATATTGAAAGTACCAACAGTTAGCTAAATTATTGAAGGGATTCTTGACTTACAATGGTTGAACTGTACCAAACTGTTTTGTAATCTAGATTTGAGAAGTTTTTCATGTTTAATTGAATTTGGTTTAAAATCTCACTCAGGTTGAATATCATGTTGTGGAGGATTAGATTTCTACCTGTAAACAATGGAAAGTCTTAATCGATAATATGTGTTGATTTAGAGAATTCTTTGTAATTTTTTTTGTTTTTTTGTTTTTTTTGTTATGTGATGAATAAGACTCACAAATGTTCTTGAAGAATTTTGTTTACAAATCTTTCACTAGAAGAGATGGTTATGTTTGCTGAAGGTGATAAGGATTTTTTTTCTGTGGTTTTGTTTGGTCTTTTATGAAAAGTTATAGTGTTACTTTTCCACTAGTGGTGGCAACATTTTACATCAGGTTTGCGATTCCATTGTTCATAAAGTATAAGTCTAATTTTAACCAAACTTGGTAATAACTATTAATTATATATATATATTAAGTAGTCAACACGTCAACACAAATATCTTTCGGACTTGGCAGTTCAGTGACTTAAAGTGAAGGATGCTGCGAAGCTGAACTTTAAGCTTTGATTTTAGCTTAGTTTCTCATAAGTGCTGTTCTAGTCTGTCTAGAATATACTTATGTAAAGTTACAGGTGGTCAGTGTTAATTTCATTCTCACTGGTTAGTTATTTTTTAAAAGTTACAAAAATGTGAAATATGTAACAAGAGCGAAAGAAATACTATATACAACAACCATGAAATGGTGTGACTTGTTTCTACCGCAGGAAAACAGAAATTCTTACAATGAATTGACATGTTGCGTACCCTTGTGTATTTTCCTTTAATGAATTGGAGTGTGAACGTATCACAGCTAATTCATATGTAAATCTGACAATTTCTGAAATGTGTTGAAATATTTCAATCTGTTACAAATCCCAACAATGAACTAGTATATTACCTTCAGAGTAATAAATTGAAAGAAGTATAAAATCACATTTTTACACATTAATTTCCACCAGTACATGAGGCACCCTTCTGTTACAAGTTCACCGTGCCAGCCAATCAAAACTTGTATATAGTTAATTCCACTTGTGTTGTAAATGTTTGAGTTTACAACAGCTGCAATGATGAATTGATGCCATAGAAGTTTAGTAGAAATTGTAGATAGAGATCTTAACCCATCAAATTCATTACCTTTTTTTTTTTTTTTTTTTGTATTTTCTGGACAAAGACTTAAGATTTTGAGAATGGAGGGTTCTGTTCACTTCTTATTTAGTTTATAGTCATATTAAAACAAGTACTATACATTATCAGTTCCCTCTCTCACCTTGGGAATTTTGATTTTTTGAAAATGCATGGAAACATGCCTACACCATATCTATGGTGTTTACATATTGTTGATTTTAATTGGTTTGGAAATTAGGGATATTGGGGACGGGATGGGGCATGAATTTTTGGCATTTTTTCTTAAAAACGACCTTACAAAACCAGACAGGTGAGAAATATACATTTGATTCTTGTTCATTGTTTAAGCTATTCTTCATCAGACAGAATTCATTGCTTAAATTAATGATCTTATGTGATTATAGGAAAGTTTAGCTTTTTAAAGTTTTCAAGAAATTGAATGATTTTTGTGATGTGATTGTGTTGCAATTGACTTCGTCATTTGCAATGAAGAGTAGACTAGTTCTGCAAAATGGCTGTGATAATGAAAGTTTTATATGTAGTGTGTCATATTTTACTAACGTTAATTTTTTTAAATGAATATTCTCATTATTTGGTTTTAAAATCTTCTCACATTTTTTTGTTTTTATTGGTCTCAATTTTGAAACTAATTTTCATCACTTTTTTCACCAGTTTAAATAACATCAGTATGCATTAACCAATCTAATTTGTCATTAAAGGCCATCAAGTTTCCTATATGTCAGACACTTGTCAATAAAGACCATCAAGGTCTCTGTATATCAAACACATGTCTATATAGACCATCAAGGTCTCTGTATATCAAACACCTGTCTATAAAGACCATCTAGGTACCGTTATATCAAACACCTGTCTATAAAGACCATCTAGGTACCGTTATATCAAACACCTGTCTATAAAGACCGTTTTTTTTATTGGACTGTTAATATATTTGTATTTTTAAATATTGTAAAAGTTCAGGTCTTACACAATGTGACACAACAGGTCGGTCAAATGTACGAGGTTAAACAACAATTATCTGTCTGTAATATACAGTCTGGATGGTGATGTTATAGCACCATGAAATCAATTATTGATGATGTCACTAACAAAGTATTTCCCTTAAAGGTCAGAAAAGTGAAACAGATTTCTGAAAAATGGACAAAAGTGTCCAAAAATTCTTGACAAGTTTTAATATTTTTCATGACAATACATCCTAGATTTGCAGTTTTAAATACTCTGCTCTGTGTCACCACCACAGTAAATACTAAAACTAGGTTTTTCTTGTATTCAAACTTTTTTATATGCCCATGATAACTGAGAAATATGAAGATTTGTTTCCCTCAGTGAATTGTGTTTAGTAAAGATGTCTTTTCAGAGTGTATATGTAGAATGTTATTTTTATACAAGATACTTATGTTACGTACTCTGAAATGTATACAATAAAATACTCAGATTTTTATTATTGTAGGGAAGAAAGTGTCAGTAGATATAACATGGCTTGTTTATAATCAAGAGACGGCAGCCTTCAGTGATCTGTATGTTTATTGGTTGGTGAACTACCCATATATAAAAAATATATAAAAAATTACCCAAGAAATCAGAACAATTCCGGTTAAATATTAAATATTAGCTTTTGTCAGAAGAAACATCACAGAAATTATTGACCAAGCAATAAAATACATTCTATAGTTTTAGGCAGATATGACCAGCGTAGAACATACCCCTGGCATTCATTTTATTTCCTATATCCATCTGTTGTATAAAAATCACGGAAATACAGAATTTTAAAAAGGATGACTGTAAATATACAGTTACGCACACTCGGTTACAGATACGCACAAAGATAGTAAGTCATTAATTACCAAGTACGGAGTTGTAATGCTGTTTTTCTGTAATGAAAAAAAGTAGTTGATAACTTATTATGAGAAAGACCAGTGAGAATCACGCACAGTACAAATATTATGTGTTATGATTATATCTCTTCTAACAGGTATGAAAATACTTACACAAAAAGATTATTGCTGGTAGGAGCAGCTACATAGAGATTGATTTTGCCCCAAGCCTAAATCTGCCTTTGTCGTGTTATATTGAACAGACATCCAGCAATTAACTGTGAGTTCTATTAAGAGATACACAAACAATATTCTTACTGTTAAGTATAGTCATATACATCTACAAATTACTTGTTATTATTGTTGACGACACAATGAACATTTGTTAGAGATATTGATGATAATGTATCCTAGCCAGTACTCGGTGTTTGTATATTTAAATATACTAATATTTACATTTGTAATCTCATTTGTCATGAATTTCTGTTTCATCATAACAAAGTATCATATGATTAAAAAGCTCGGTATAAAATTGTATTGTAAATCAATTTTTTTTTGTTGGGGGGGGGGGGAGGTTATTGATGAATATCATATGATGGTTATGCTAAAATTTGCCCAAAACTTTTCATTGGTATTGACTAATTTCAGTGATCAGAAAAACAGCTGTATGTACACTAATTGGAACTTCAGAATATATACTGTACATATTTTAGTGATAATCTCATTTCAGTGATTTTCACACTAATGTCGTTGCACTAAAATAGGTTGGGGCTAATAGCAGTTTCTTAATATTGTAAAGATAGCAAATATGTAAATTCGTCATTGCATTGATTTATTTATAATTGACAATTCACTTACATTGTCAAAAGTACATATTGTGTGCTAAGTTAAAAATATTTTATTTCAAAAACAAAAAATAAAAAAATAGTCACAGGGTTTTATTCTGTAACACAACACTTCAAACAATTCTACTCAGTGTAATTCATAAAGAAAATAGTTCCATTTTCTTTTTTTCATTCTAAAATAAAACTTTCAAATTAAAAAAAAGTTGTATCGAATGGTAATGAAGTATTTTTTGTGTACAGTACTGTTCTTTTTACAGATGATATTCTTTTACTGCATAGG